TAATTTTAAAAATAATTTGGGTGACAAATACTTTTGTAAGCAGAGATGACACTTCAGAATGAGTTCACTATTACATTCTTTGATAAGCAGTGGTTATACACTTAAGTGACAATCATTAATGAGACTATCTGGGGATTTTTTATTCTGCTCTGTTTTGCACATAAGTCACCCTAGGGACCCTTAGGAGAACAATAATTTTTTTTCTGGCCTCCAGAATATTATCAGGAATATTATCATTACATTTCACTAACATAAATCAATAGGTATGCGACATACTTCAATTAACGTTACTTTCATAAACTGTCATTACCAGCAGTGATACACATAAGGAAACCTCTACACTAAACAAAGTAAGAACTATGTTTGTTCCCTTGTTTCCTTATTTGGGGGTACTAAAACAACTGTTAATTTTCACTAGTTCAACATTTCCCAAGTGTAACACGAGCTCCAGTCTTTGTACAAGGATACCATACCGGGATAAACAGTCTTTAACGCCAAAGGAATCACAATTTAGTGGGAGAAAGGCACACAATTTACGAGGACACTTAACATTAAACTTTAAACAAGAGGAAAGTAGGTAAAGAAAATAGCAGGGATGCTGCTCTTCTGAGAAATAACAAACGAATACTCATCCATTTCCCCAAATTCTTGTTAAAGTTATCTGCAATACACGGTGGGAAAAGTGCTTGAAGTCAGGATCTTTGGCCAATTCTAACACCAAGTCGCTGCGTGACTTTAGGCTTGTCATTTAACTCGCCTTGTCCTCGGCTCCCCTAAGGATGTATTATTTCCCCAGCCTAAACCCGAATCATCTTACCAGCATAAACCAAATAAAAAAGGTTCCAGTGGTTTCAGGGCAGAGACCCACATTACCCATCCATTCCATTCTCCCTAGTAATCGTGGCCCAAGGAACCGGTAGTCAGTAAGCTGGGGGAGTTACCACGTCTACACGGGATTTCCACATCAGCTTAAGATTCCACTGAGATAGGCCTTTATTGGGCTTTCAATGTCATGAACTCACAAAATGTACTAGAGGCCCTGATACAGTCTTAAGAAGATGATGGAGAAAAACTGGATGTCTTATCCGTGTGCCGTTCTCGATCACCAGCAGGGTGTACCTTTGCCAACCTAAATCCGAGTTTCTGCCCTCCTGGAACCACGCCTCCCGGAGAAATCCAGAAGGCATAGGTAAAACCTCTCTAGGAGGGCAGGGAGAAGATAGGGGCTAAGCCAAGACTAGCTTAAAAAAAAAAAAAAAAAAAAGGTTCTAGTGTTTTTCTTCCCCTCCAGCTATGCAGCTGCACCCAGAAGAGAAGCACTAGATTAGCATCATCTGCATTTCATTCCTTTGCTTTTGCAATAGCTACCCGCTTATAATAAACAGACCTGGTACTAGTACTCGGGGGAGAATTTACTTCCCCATCCAGTGAAAACGAAGTTCCTTATTTTCACTGACATCGCCATCTCCAATCAACACTCGCCCTCCCTCGGGAGACCCGGCACTCCTCTCCCCGCCACCTCCTGCTGCGAGCCTGACGCCCTACGAATCGCCCCACTTTTTTGAGCCCTGGCTGCTCGCTTCGCGAGGCTCCGAGAAAGAGCGGAAGCGCCCAGGAGCGCGGCGCGCACACCCGCAGGGGCTCCCCGCCCGGCCCCGGGAGCACCGGGCTGCCTCGGCCGCCCGGGGGCTCGCAGAGGCGGAAGGGGAGCCCCACGCCACCCCCACTTACCCACTTTGTCCTTCCCGTACATGTGCCCGGCCACCTGATGCGAGAGGGGCACGCAGCCGTTGAGGAAACAGAGCCTGCCGCCCGCCGGCTTCGGGGTGCCCTCAGGGAGGGCCTCGCTCGCCGGTGGGGTCCGCATTTCTGGGGGGCCGGGCGCCTCAAGCCGGAGGGGGGATGGCGGCTCAGTTGCCATAACGGAGAGCTGAAGCGGCGGCGACCGAGGCGAGAGCAGGAAAAAATTAGGCTGGAGGGAGGGGGCGCCGCAGAACCTGGGGGGTCTCTCAGGCTCGGCCGCGAGGAGGCCCGGGGGTTCCCGCGGCTGGTACCCGCTGAGGCCCGGGGAGGGGGCCCATGACGCCGCGGCGGCGCGGGCGCTCCCCAGCCCAACTCTCCGCGGAGCGCGGCTCCAGGCTCCCGCTGCTCTGCAGGCGCGGCCCGCCGCCGCCGCACAGCACTGGAGACGGAACCGAGCTGAGGCGCAGCGGCGGCAGCGCCCCGCGCTCCCAGGGGCCCTGACGGCGACGGCGGCCCCACCTCCCGCGCCCCCGCCCCCTCCCGCCGTCCTCCAGTCCCCTCAGCTGCCGCGCGCTCGTCAGCGCCGCCCGAGCTTCCGACTGCGCGACCCGCGGCCGCCGCCGCTACTGAGCATGCCCAGAGGCCGCCCGACAGCCCCTCTCGGCGGGGCGGGCGCGGGCTGGCTGAAGGCCGCTCGGAGGGGAGTGCGCTCGCGTGCCTGCAGAGCCCCACCGCCTGGAGGGCGTTAGGCAGCCTCCAGGGCTGCTGTGCCTTAATTCTTTCTGTGCGCGAGGCAGCGCTTCCTGGGGGCGGGCTCCGGGAGCCAGGGGATCCAGAGGTGGGGAGAGTGAAGTCGTGTGTTCGAGTTGGGAGGCAGTGGCATTACCACGAGTGGCTGGGAGGGGCACCCCTGGTGGCGCAAGGGGTTAAGCACCGCACTATGAAGCAATCCGCAGCACCTGCAGCACGAGTTCGATTCCCCTGCCGGCCAGGGAGCTACCCACATGGCGCGGCAGACCTCTCCTGACTCGCCCACTGCCCCCCTCAGCAGTGTGTTTCAGTCAGTCTGCCTGTTCAGTTCCCCACTCTGTCTCTGGTGAATCTTCTCACGTCCCGCATCTCTGGCCTGTACCCCAGCTCTTGCATGCATAAATAAATATGTCTTTAGGAAGGGAAAAAAAAAAAGAATGGCTTGGGAGGCCGGCTCTTAACTGCAATGTACTCCTCCACTTCCCACCCAGCAAAGACATAATAGCGTGTAAAACAAGCCGCTTCTTAGAAGACTCCCCTTCAAGACACCCTTCAAAATTAATCCTAGCCCCTCTCGTCAAATCGGTGGCCCTAAACCGCTTTTACAAACCATTTAGAACCGACGCTGATTTCAGTCTGTAGGTGATATAGAATAATCTTGTCTTTATTAAAAGTGAACACTTTTTTTTTTTTTTTAAATAAAGGAGTCTTTCTTAACCACTCGGGCCCGTGAATAGCAGATTCCGGGCCTTCAATAGATAGCAGGGTCAAAGGCAGAAGAAAAGGTTGCACAATGGGCGCGACGAGAGGTTCTGGAATGGCATTCTGTGAAAACTGGACCTGGCCTTTCAGGTACCGGACTAAGCAAGAACATTTTGCAACGTCTTATATTTCTGAGGATGGCAAGCGCCCTACGAGCACCTGTCCGCAGTCCTGAGAAACCCACACACCTGGAAAAAAACAAAATGTGGCCTGGATTCCCCATTCCCAAAGCCCTGCCCCTGGGCTCCAGGACCCCGCCCCTCAGGGTTGCGCAAACTCTCAGGCTACCGCTCTAGATTTCCTCCCCCACCATCCTCCACTCCCCCGGCTGTCAAAATCGGCCTGGGAGACTTCTGAAGGGCCGGCAACCAGGTCTGCGCATGCTCAGCATCAACCAGGGCGGATAACTCACACGTGCTTACGGCTCGCCGCCGCGCCTGCGCGGTAGCAACCTGAAGTCGGTGCCCTTAGGACGCCGCTCGCTCCCTGACTTTCAGGCTGTCTGCGCGAGCCGTTTGTGCTTAGTGTCCCCGGTACACGCCCTGCAAGCGACGCCGCCATGAGTGTGACTTCCAGCGTACGAGGTGAAGTGGGGCCTGGGAGCGGGGGAAGGCTGGCGGCCTGCGCGCCGGTTGCAGCTTCCTCGGTCCCTTCCTGGGCTGTTAGCGCTGCCCTGCGCGCCCGCGGAGCCTGTAACCTTGAGCTGCAGAAGGGTAACCGTTCGGTTAACCTCGAGCCCTGGGCTAGGCTGGTAAAGGGGGCTCCGTTAGGGTGTGGATTGGGGATCTCACCGGCAAAGGGGGCCCTACAGGCATCTAAGCCAGATCTAGACCACGTTTTCCCGAACTAGCCAAATCTAAATCCTGATGACCTCGCTGCTGGCTTTTCTTGTTCTTCTCTGTGTTCTTAACCCTCAGGGCCTGGAAAAGAGGAAATCTAAAAAATCATGTTTTCCTTTCTCACGTTTAAATCACGATGGGGTCAGAGCGTCTGTTTCCTGTAACGGTGAAGCGATGCATGACTAATCACATCTTAGTTTTTGCACATATTTAAGGGAAGAAACCCAATCCGAGGTCTTCAGTTTTCCCAGTTTTTTATTGTGACTCTGGCATCAGGCGGTTGTTGGCTGTAGTCCAGGAGAGAGGATTGAAAACCGAGCTGCTCTTACCTTCAGCTTTCTCAACCTTGCTTTCCCTTGTGCTACTACTTAGCGTTTGGAAACGTGACTTTTAAGAAGTTCCAGTTTAAAAAGGACTTTATAGATGTCGTTTGATACGGAGTTTTACTTGTAATAATTCTTGCTGGTGGTGTAGTTGTTAATGTAAGACTGCACCAGCTACACGAAACGTGAGATTCTCGGTATAACACGCCACACCAAAGGTTTGGTTACCAGTAACAGTAGTTGAGTAAAGGTAAAGAGATTGTCCACAAATTAATTAAAAATCGCCCCTTTGATTCATTTAGTAAATACCGAGCATCTAGCGTGGCAAGTTCTGTAAAAGGTCCCCACTAACTGGAACCCTAATTACACTGCTTTTGCAACAGTTAACTGACAAGAATGAGGGTGATAAACCATGGCATTTTTACATTAATGAGACCTATAGAAGGTGATTACTTGCAAAAATTATTTCAAAGGATAGTCATCGTGAGGCTCCTTTAAATGGAAGTGTATGTTAAATAGGAAGTGATTTTATGTATTTAGTTTTTTCAAAAGCTATTGGGAGGGGAATAAGACTGTTAGGTAAAATAAGATGTTCATGCCACTCGAGCCCTTGTTGATTTTATAGGAAGACGGTTGTACTTGTGTGATTATAGGTGTAACCAGGTGGTGTTCTGGGGTGCCCCTCTCCCTGCCCTGTAACAAGTACAAAGATTCCCAAATGTGTTTTTATTTAAATTGTGGTATCGTTTTGTGTGAGTGGACACTGAACTCTTATTTCGGCACCTTGCTATTGAAATGTGAAATAGTTGAGCCCTTGCTACTTCTTATCACCATCTGCTGGCTCATCTTTCCTGAAATCAAGACCAATTCGGTTTTTAATCTAAACATGGGAGAATTCAAAATTCAAAGGTGACTTTTCCATTAGTTTACTATTTTCTGAGAGATAGGAAGTTGCTTGGTGAAGCAGATTATTAGCTTAAGCTTGAAGTATTCAGTTTGTTTTGAGTCGTTACTATTTATTTCACCTAAAATCATAAAGATGGTTGAAGACTATGGGGAGAGGACTGAAACCTTTGTAAATCTCTCCCACAAATGTCTTCTTCCTCAGTTAGCGGTACATCAAGGTAGGGACCGAGAATGTCTTGGAAATCCATTTTTGTTTATACTCACAATGTAATAAAAAGTAAAGGATGGGTTAAAAATAAAATTAATGGCCATCAGGCCAGGACATCAGTCTGGGAGAAGTGATGAGGATGAGTGATTGCTTGGAATTGAAATCCAGAGATCCCAGTGAGGTGACTCTTGATAGCTTGGGTGATGATACTGTTATAGAGCAGCCCCGATATTAAACGGGTTCCTGGCTGTGGGTCCTCACCCGCGCGCTTAAAAGGGACTTATGAATACTCCACTACAGACACACACCAAAGGTTAATAAAAGGTTTATTTACAAGGAAAAAGGAAATAAGGAAAATGTACAACTCAGGGAGAAAATAGGGAAATAAAGTCTTTAATGCGTCCTACTCGATCCGCAGACCTGGAAACCCAAAGTCACTCTCAGAGCTGGCCGGAAGCTGCGAGCTGGCAGAGAGCCAAAATGGGGAGATTTCCCCCCAAAGCCCACGTGTCTGCCTTTTATATCCACCTGGCTGCTTAACCCCACCCTCAGGTCCCAGCCACCTTCCCTTTGGTGGTGATGGGATTTGGAGTTCCCAGTGTCTTTGGCCTTGACCTGGGGTGGGGGTGGAGTCCACAAAGCCTGTGTGGAATTAGCTTTGGGACATCCTTTTCCCCCTAACAATACCAAACTTATTTTTTATTTGATACCAGATATTAGTTTCGTATACTTCTTAAACACATTAAGTGACCTTCACAGTCACAGAGTTCTCATTCCCTAATGTCTCTTTATACCCGATAGATGATCTTGGAAAGTTTGTTATCCATGCTGCTCCTCAATACCTCTAAAACTTGTTGAGTCTGCTGTCAACGTTCCCTCCCCATTTCTATTTGTAATGAAGAGATGAACTGAGGGTCCATGTCCTACAGATGCTGTTTTCTCCTGCTTATTTTATCTCTTGCTTCACTGATACCTATTGTTGTTTTATGTTCAACCTCTAACAAGGATTTTCTTCTTTTCCACTAAAGTCTTCCATAAATCACCCTTCACTTTGAAAAGAAGCCAGGTAAACTAATTTTTTTTTTAATTGAGGTAATACTGGTTTACCGCATTGTATATTTTTTACCAGTACAGGTTCACACTCTTCAAATGTATGTTACCACACCAAGCACACCCAAGTTAGCGATAACCCTCTACCAGAGTCCACTTGACCTTTTCTCTTCACCCTTTGCTCCAACTTTACTCCCACCCATTTCAAAACCTTAGTTTTGCTGTGAGAATCCAGGGGTTTGTTTGGCTAAACCAAATATTTTAAACAAACTTCTTTAACTTGTCTTCCCTACAAATTATTTTTTCCAAACTTTGCTTTACTGTTAAGTTACAAAGTAATGGTTCATCTGTCCACTCTGCACTGTTGTCCATTCCAAACTCTGAACACTAAAATGCATGTAACAAAAACGGAATTTCATAAGTTCTTATTTTCTGATGTTTATATTTTTGTTTTATAATTTATGGTTTCTGTAATTCATTTAACTTCAGCATAGGGAAATACTGTTTGGGTTTGATAAATCCATTGAGTCATTTTTTTTTTTTTTTAAAGATTTATTTATTTATTAATACAAGCACTGGGTATAGTCAGAAGCGCCGGAGGGTGAGAGAATTCACCAGAGCCAGAGCGGGGAGCAGAGCAGGCAGAAGGACCGAAGTACACTGCTGAGGGAAGCAGCGGGTGGCAGGAGAGGTCTGCATGCCATGTGGGACCCTCCTCCCGTGGCCAGGGAGCAGCCGGGAATCGAACTGGCGCTGCAGAGGCTGTGGGCAGCTTTGCAACCCAGCGCTCAACCGCTGTGCCACCAGGGAGGCCCCATTGAGTCATTTTAAAGTATTACCATTTAAGGTTTGTGTTTTGTCTGAGAAAGAATGTGCAGCTCAAGCTGAGAATAAAGGAGACAATTCTCATAGGTTATAAACAATAAATAATTGGTGAAGGGAGTGGGATTAGGGCCTAAATATGAAACACAATCGGCTGTTAGTTGTTACTTGGTGGAGATGGGTGAGAGTAAAATGGGTGTTTGTTACAGTATTCCCTGTGTATGTCTGAAATAGTACATAATAAAGTTTTAGTTTTAATCTCAGGAATTTAAATTCCACACTCTGACATAGTAGATTCAGGCTAGGCCAAAGAAAGTCATTTAGTTTAACAGAAGCATGACAGTAGGATGAACTGTTGGAATTGCAAATACAAATGAGTAATCCATTACTTCTTTTTATTTAACCAACATTAAACACCACCTGTACCAGGCCTTGGGAGAAAAACATTACTAGGCACAGCCTAGCCAACATTTGGGAGACTTGGGAGGAGTGAAAGATTTAGACACAATCCCCTCCCCCTCACCTGAAAGGAAAGGAATGTTCTGATTCTGTGGCAGTTGACAGTGGGCATAAGACAGTTTGAGGCAGAAAAGGGGCTGAGGAAAAGAAGCGGGGTGAGGTTTATCTCTAAGGTAAAGAAAAATAATACACTATCACAGAGAAAGCCAAGGAGGGGGTTCTCAACAACGGTGTGAAATTTGGACACGTTTATGTTTTCTCAATCGCTGAGTAATTTTAAGAGAGGAAACCAAAGATTAAATAATAAAAGGGGAAGAGTAGGAAGAAGGATGGGGGGGTGAGAGTATTTAGAAAAAAATTTGCTGTTTTCTTCTTTATATTGATTCACTCATTAATGGTATTTTTGTAGATAAAAAGCGTTGTTAAACAAGATAAAGTAGGGTTTGATCTAACTATAGGAACGCTGTACCTTGAGAGATATCTATAGAAAAGGAAAATGAAAATAAACCAGAACATGCAGAAATACGCCATTAGGATTTTTCTGAAACCCAGGTCTGAAAATGTCTCAAAGATGCCAAATGAAATATCTTTTAAAATTGGGTCATGGGAAAGTAACTTGTTGCCTCTGAGATTGTGTCTATTTTTATTAGGAATATACACCATCAAGGACTAAATGTTACTGAGTTTTATTTTGTGTATGTATTTACTGTCTCACATTTTCAGTTCTTTTTCTGTCCTAAGTGGTGACTTTGGAATCCATTATCATTCTTCTCTATTTCAATATAGTTTCTTTTTTCTTTTTTTCCCTGGAATTGCCAGTGGCATCCACAGCTTTTTACCAAAAAAGACTGATTCAGGTGCAGTACTGAAAAGATAAACTAGAACATTTTTCTTATTCTGGAAACTTAAATTTGCCCCTATGAAATTAGAGAATTAGAATTTGGAAAGGGGGGAAATTGAAATTCATTTCTTAAGATCTTATCTAGCCTCGTGATTCTAAACTCATCTGTGCAAATACAAAGCCATTTTCCTAGCACACATCTGGTACTATGACACTTTTATAAGGCCATAAGTGACCCTTGTCAGGGGTAGAGGAGCAGAGTGCATGGTATGATTCCCATGGGACAGCCACTCAAGTAATATATTTAGAGTCATCTCTCATTTCTCCCTTTCCTTATAAACAACGACAGTCTCTTCAATTGTCATTTCTTCCACCATCAAAAAGATTCAAGGGTAGTAAAGGTTTTTGTTTTTTTTGTTTGTTTGTTTGTTTTTAAATCAGTGTTTATATTTAGCTGGTAATATTAGAGACGCTTTTAATGGCTAAAAAAGAATCTTTTGGCCTATCACGAATTTCAGGTAGAAATTCCTGTAGGATTCTTTTTTTTTTGGAGACCAATTAATACCAGCCAGTTATGTTTGTTCTTTGGGTCTCAGGCTTCTTTGTAATTCTTTGTAATATGTAGGCACTGTTGAAATAAATCTGTTTGAGTATTTCATAATTGATCTAAAAAATAAGGTTGAACTAAGATCAACAACATTTAGGTGGTTGTGCTATTTTAGTCCTTTTGGATTATTGCCCATCTTTTAAGCTTATGCTAAAGATAACATTCAGCAAATGCAACTGAACATGTACTATGCAAGACAGTATTTTAACCCATTTTATGATAGGTATATTAGCTATTCAGAGTGGCTTTCCATTAGCTAACATTGGATTGCTATAGCTCTTGACAAAGAGAATGTTTTCTCAAGGGAATTTTATGGAAAATACTGCATCAAAGAGTAAGATGGCAAATCAAGCTAGCAATCAGAGCAAATTTGCAGCCCTGCTTGGAATTGCCACACGGTAGTTCAACACAAATTTACATAAACTGTGAGTTAGAAAAAATATCCTTCTACTAGGCCAAAGGTTTGAAGCTGTCGTATGACTTACTAACTTGTTTTCCCGGTCATGCAGTACCTGGGAAGGACATAACATTAATGTTAATTTTAGGGAATTATAACAAGGAAGAATGGAATTGTTGTGGGAAGAAAAACAAACTAAATTACTTGGTAGAGAAAAATAACTGACTGAAAATAGAATACAAGGGTCATGCTAATTAGAAACATTTGCTAAAAACTAAATTATTAAGTAAGCTAGAATAGGAACTAAGGCACTATTATATAAGGCACTATTAGGTATGGTGATTAATCATGGTAGTCAGATAAGAAATTTAACTCAGTAGTGCTAATAAGCCATATGGTTAACTACTCACTATATGTTTTCATTTGGCCTTGGAATGTGTTTTTGTACTTATCTCTCTAGGGCTTTATTTGATAGTCTGGGAACTTATTTCAAACACTCTGAAGATTTGACTCAGGAAGTGCTGGGAAGCAGTCCACTGTGTTTATCCTGACCCTTGTTCAACTTCTTCCTGCAGTCTACTCCATGCTGGAAATAGACAACTCTACTCTGAGGCTAACCAGACTATGCAGAACTTTCTTCTCTCCAGCGATCTCTGGAAGTGGGGTAGTTAGTTGTTAAATACTTGCCTTTCTAAGGGCTCCATGGAAAGAATAGATGGCTGTTAGTCAAGAAAATAAATAATTGACTAGAAAATTGTCATTAAATTTAAAATGAAATTTATAAAGAACTCAGATAACCATCCACTGGTGGATAATGGAAATCTAGAATTTATTAATTGAGAATATAACTAATTATATTAGTCATGTCTTATGAAATATGAAATCAGTACATTTCAATTTTTACTTTAATAAGAAAGAACTTTGAAATTTAAAAAAAACACAACTTTTGAATGATGAACCCACATTCCTGCTGAATATATTGCTTAGAATGTTTAATAGTAAGGGTGGTTTTGTTTTATTTGTCATTTTTGTTTTTTTTTTTTTTTCAGATACCAATTTTGTTAGTAGTTATGCATTTTAAAATCACTAAGGGATCTTACTATTTAAGTGAACTCTAATGAGTCATTTTTCAACATAATCACCTGATCATTTTCTCTTTTTGGTCTTGTTTGTAATCTGAATTTTTATGTTTTTCTTCTTAAGCAGTAATATCTATAGATTCACATGTTATTTTTTTAAATATTATTCATGCATTGAAGAACTGGGGTATAGGCCAATGATATGGGGGGTAAAAGGATTCACCAGAGACAGAATGGGGAGCAGAACAGGCAGATTTACTGAAATACACTGCTAAGGGGAGCAGCAGGAGAGACAGGAGAGGTCGGCTGCACCACATGTGTATCCCCTGGCTGGGGATCAAACTCAGGTTGCAGTGGTGTTAGCATTCATCACTCAGTAGAAAATGCACAATTGCCTCAGTAAGGACTGGAAATGTATTTAGAAGGACTATTACACCAGGTTGTTTGGGGCATTTTGTTAACATTAAAAACCTTTGGCTTTTGAAATGCTTAATTCTCAAAAACTGGATTTCCAGAACATGCATGTGTAATTATTAATGTTTACTCTGGTTTTGATGATTATTCCTCTTCTCCTTCCCTGCTCTAGTTGAATGGATTGCAGCAGTTACCATTGCTGCTGGGACAGCTGCAATTGGTTATCTAGCTTACAAAAGATTTTATAGTAAAGATCATCGCAACAAAGCTATGGTGAACCTTCATATCCAGAAAGACAACCCCAAGATAGTACATGCTTTTGACATGGAGGATTTGGGAGACAAAGCTGTGTATTGCCGTTGTTGGAGGTCCAAAAAGGTGAGGAAAACAAATACCATTTTTAATGTAACATTTCTTTTTAAATTACTCTATCACATTTATATCACCAAATTGGTAAAGACATCCCTTTTTCTTTTCTTTCTTCTTGTAAAGAGTTCTCAAAGTGTTTCAAGAGAAACTTGAGAATTTATCTAACCTGTATTGTAAACCTTTAAGCTGAAGTTTCTATAGTTAAATATCTAACAGGATTTTTTTAAATCTTACTTTCTTTTGAGAAAATTGCATTTCATCAAGTTCCACTTGGAAGTGTCATCTGTGATACCTGCAGCTTTTGGAAAGTGATGACAGCTAGTGATCTAAAGATAATAAAACGCTATCCTAAGGTCAACTTGAAAAGCTTTATATATTGAATAACTTCAGAATTTCTGGTGCATTGTGAGAAATATGATAAAAATACTGTATGTACTGCTACTATTAGTATTTAAATAAAGTGAATTTTACTAAAGATGAGACCCAAAAATGCCAAGACAATATGCCATAAAAATGATGTGTTTATTCCTAAAAACATTATGTCAAGGACCTCTTCATATAATGGAGTACTATTATCACAAATCACATGCCACAAGTTAGAAGTTACATACGAGCTACTGGGAAGTTTATTCCACTAACTCCTTTCTTCTAGTACAATTGATGTTGATGTATATAATCTAGTGATATAGTGCTTAGATTGTTATTATGTCCAAAAACTGCATAATGAATATATGGAATATGAACCAAAAATTAACAGCCCCATTACAAGTTGAATCATAAGAGCACTATTCATTTGAAATGTTAGACTGTTAATAAATACTAATGGATTGCTAGAAAATAATCTTTCAGTATTCTTTGGACTAGACCGCCTTAGTTTTTTAAAATTATGCTTATTATAAGTTTTATTATCTGGTTGCTCATCAAAATATAGAAAGTAACACCTAGAAATTATGGAATTTTAAGTTGGAGTTCTAATAGTTCTTTAATCAGTGATATATAGTTTATTTCATGTCTGTATATGCTTAAGAAAGTTAAATAGTGAAACAGCAGGCGGTGTAGATATGTACAGAAGGCCCTCAAAGGATGTCATTTTCTTGAACATCATTTCAGTATAATGTTGATGAGGAAAAAAACAGTCCTTGACTTTAAGCAAAATGATTTTATTGAGGGACCTGGTTTTGTTATACATTATTTCACTTAAGGTTGCAGTTTCTAGGAACATATCAGAAAGTGAGGACTTACTGTGTAGTAGATAGAGTATAAGTGCTCTAAATAAAAATAAGATTAGAGAAAAGGAACCTACACTGGGGATTAGAATTTTCTGGGAAAGAGTTGTGATAAATACAGCAGTTAGGCCCCTGGAAAGATTGGTGGTGTTTGAATAAACTAGCAAGTATTGGGGACTCTCTCAAAATCTGCTGAGAAAAGACTTATTTGAGCAAAGTTGGGAATGAATGAAGAATCTAGTCTGGTCCTTGAGTCCTGTTCTCTCCCAGAGTAAGTCCAATAAAGGAGAGTCTTGAGTGCTAGCCTGAGGAGTTTGTGTCTCCAGGCTTAAGAGTTCCTTGTCAGGAATTTCAGGCATAAAGTTATCATACTTATACTATGCTGCTAACTCTTGGTATAGAGAAGCATAGACCAAAAAATGAGCAAAACATGACACATATTGGGAGGATCACCCAAATGCTATGATTGATTTGTGTGGAAGATTGGGGGAGAAAAACTAAAGCTTACTGAAGTATCTAAGCATGTTGGATTAAAAGAAGCGGTGTCCATAACAAAAATAAGGAATTCAGGGTGAAAAAACTGATTATTTTAAGACAATGAAAAGGTATTTGATTTCAAAGAGTAGATTTGAGGGGACTCTTGAATGGAAATGTACAACATGAGCAATCTGAAATGTGGGACTAAAGCTGAGGCATCAGGGTTGGAGATAGAGATCAGCAAAACTGATGAGTCAAGTATAAGAATGCAACAAATCTTCGATACAGATAGGAAAAAAAAATCAGACTGAGTATGAAATGCTAGAGAATTTTCTGCATTTTGGAAGGAGGCATAAGAACCAAAAAAGGAGGGCCTCCTTGGTGGTGCAAGGGGTTAAGACACAACCTATGAAGCTATCTGCATCCTCTGTAGCACGAGTTCCATCCCCGGCCAGGGAGCTGCCCACATGGTGCAGCAGAACTCTCCTGACTCACCTGCTGCTCCCCTCAGCAGTGTATTTCAGTCAGTCTGCCTGTTCTGTTCCCCACTCAGTCTCTGGTGAATCCTCTCACCCCCCACCCCACACACCTCTGGCCTGTACCCCAGTTCTTGTATGCATAAATAAATATATCTTTTTAAAAAAAGAACCAAAAAAGGAGACGAAATTGGTCAGAGCAGAATATTACTATGAGTATCACGGCTTCACAGTGGAAAAAAGAAGCATTTCAAAGAAAATTTGGTGTGAGCATCAACCTAAAATCAACAAGGAAAATAGACTTATAGTATTTCTGTTGGATTAAACAATTAGGCGGTTGACCTTTTGGTGTTCATTTCAACAGTGCATTTAGAATAGAAGCTGTGTCTTAAGTGGGTGAAAGTATGAATTACTGATAAAGAAATGCTGGAAGTTTACGTACATGTCAAATTTTCAATAAATACGACAGTAAATGAAAATGAAGAGATATAACTGCCTGAATATAATCCAAAGCATAGCTTAGCTTTATTTGAGGTTAAATAAAGGGTGTTTGCTTTGTTTGGTCTTCTCAATTGTCAAAGGGTCAATATGGACTTTCATGAACAAAGTTCTCAAGTATTTCATGAAAACACAAAAAGTACAGGCTGGTGGTCTAAATGTTAATTAGACTTCTAGTTCAACAAAATATTACAGAATTGTTCTTTGATCATATGGTTTAGTTTCCAGATGGTTAAACTAACAATCACCATTTCCCATAGGTAGGTTTTAAGGAAAGGAATGCCAGACCTATCTTTTTTTCCTTTGGTCTTTTATGCCATAGTGATCCTTTTGCATCTAAGATTTGTCAGTGCTGAATTTTCACTGAATCTTGGGCACTTTTTATTCCCAGATGAATCAATTAAGAGTTTACTTTGAATAATATTGAATTTAATGGTTGTTCTCATTCTTTAGACATCTTTGGAAAGTCCCCACATTCTTCAGTACCTGCAATTATCTGTCGCCCAGATGCCAAGTCATGCATTTACATGCCGATGCACAGAGGACTTGTAACTAATATCTTTGATTAGATAGCTATATTTCATATTTTTAGCTATCTCCAAAAGTGTTATGTCTAATATAAGCTTTAATACTAACTCATTCTTAAAGTTATTAATAGATTATTAATCATGAATAACCTATTATGGGTCTCTAGCATTTTGAATAGTTTTTCCAGATCTAATAAATCAGATCTCTTAGTAGTGTGTAGAAATTACATTTTTAACTTACCTCATTCCTCCTCAGTTAGGCATGCTCTTTGCTGTTTCAGAAATTCCCTTATTTCGTAGCATTTCACAAAAAGGCAATCAATATATGAATCGAGAAACGAAGGTACCAATAGACAGGAAACAAAACAACTACAAGGAAAGACACTGCTTGAAAAAATTGGTGTCTTGAAAGAAAGTGGAAGGAAATGAAAGTAAGAGTGCAGATGTTAAACTCGGTCTTAAACGGGAAGAGAGTTTTACTTTCAAAACAAGACAAGAGAACATTGATCTAAGAGGGAAGAGTATGCATTAGTCTTGCTGGTTTCCTATCTCCCTCACCTTGAGTGAGTTGTACCATCATTTGCTAAGTTATATTTACTATCTCACATTTTATTACAGTAGGTACAAAAAGAATGGTGTAAAATGTCACATAATCTCTCAGGTAGCCTCGAAAATCTAATTGCTTTTGTTTTCTTCCTCAACCAAAGCAAGCTTGTTTCTCAGAACATTTTTTGTAATGAGCAAAAATGGTATCAGGAAAATTCCTTGGGAAATTAATCCAAAGCCTTTAAAAATAGGAAGCTTGGAGAAGGAGGATGTTTTTTAATTGTTGAAGGAGAAGAGGTCGGTCAGGGAGGAACATTTATTTCCATCTGAGTCACCCTAAAAATAGGAGCATCTTAACTTGTGATGTGGAGCCATTAAAAAGAAACAAATCTCATGTTTTCTATGAAGACCCCAACAATGTTGGCTTTCTAAGTGGAGAGTAAGGATCTCTGGTGGTTTTTCCCTCCCAAATATTTATTCCAAACGTCTTCACCCTTTTCTTCCCTGCTTTCTAAGATATTAGGATTTATAGTTTTCTAAATGGATTAGCAAATATAATTGGGGTATTTTTCAGCTAACTTAATTCATTGAACTCTCTTCGGAATTCATTAATATGTGTTTGCCCCGCTATCCGAAAGTACAGTGTTTCTATTTGGTATGATTTGGTTGGTTAGTTTTTGGGCCTGGAAACACTATTACCATTCATTTATATGGAAATTTTTTTTGTGTGCATTTTCATGCCAAGAAAATAACCATGAAAGAGGAATGGTCTACTTTTTGCATATCGGGAAATCTGTAACCAGGTATTTTAGAACAAATTTTAGAATCAATCATGAACTAAACTTTTTCAGTATTGATAGTACATGAACTAGATTAAATATATACTTTTGTGTTTTTGCAAATTCAGCTTGGGCAATTTAACAAATTTTAGAATTCTAAATGAAAAAGTTACTAAAGCATTCATTTTTGTACATTATTTAATGTAAAACTACTACATATTTTTATATAATTTACCTTTTGATTTTAAGGTCAAGTAATTATTCATTTATGCTATGTTAAGAATCTAATTTCAATAAATATATTCCATTAATAATTACAATGCATTCTTAAAAATTGCTAACCTTATCTTGAAACAACTTGTTTTGCCCCTAGGAAAAAATGTTGCATTTTTTTCATTAACAGAAGATGAGTCATCCCTAATGAATAGATACAAAATAGAACTAATCCTCACATGAAATTTGGGGCATAATTCTGAATTAAGTCAATAATTCCCGGGTTTAAGTGATAGAGAAATTATGATTTAAAAGTTATCTGTGACTCAGACTCTTAGGATGGGGCCTTAGAGTAAGCAGCTGAGAAGAGTGATGGCCACACAGGAGAAGGGTGTGCACTGGTCCCAGGCCTCAAGCTGGGCACCCATCCCTGGATGCCACCCCAGCAGGAGATCCCAAAGGACAGCTGGCAGCAGGCATCTCTTCTTTCCCTAACCCCTTCCCCTACCCCTTTTCTCCCTCACACATTTACCCAGTCAGTGCTTGCCAGGATGTAGAAAGAGGTTTTCCTACACTCTGCCTCCTCTCTCAGGGCTACTGTGGTTTCTGTGGTTTGGAGAGGGGGGTGTATAGGGAGGGAACATTGATGATAAAAGCTATTGGCGCTCCCACCCCCAAGAAGAACTTATATGTGCCTCTGAATAAAATTTTTAATACCTAATTTATATTTTAAAGGCATAAAAACTTTATATAGTTTAAAAGTATGGACATGTATTAACAAATAGCCAGGATTTACTACTCTCTACTTTTAAAGAAGTATTTTTTTACATTTTTACAAACATCATGATACAGACAAATGTCAGTTTTTAGGCAGAACCGGATTGTAAAAATAAATTCTCATGTCAGATATATGACTTTTTTATATTTTAGTAAGATTTTCTTTGTGTATTTATCCATAGATTTCTTTCCTGTTTTTTATTCTGTCTATAGAGGAAAGTCCTTTGAGAAAATAAATTAGTTTTCTAATTTTTTAATGTGAAACTAAAAATAAAAGTTAAACATGCTATCTTGTAGGTTGAGACTTTAATTCACAACTATTTTATTTTTCATAAATGCATTTTATAATTACATATACAGTGGCATGTTTTGTGTGCTCTACTTATAAAAATAGAATCTCTTACAATGTAAACTTTTATTTTCACTAAGATCATGGGTGTTTATTTAAGCATGTCACTTTGAAATGCTTTTTCTTGCTATGGGATACAATTTAGTTTGATTTTCTTTTTTCTTTTTTTTTTTTTTTGGCCTCTTTCCTTATCCATGCCAAGAAAATGAAAGCTGGATTCAAGTTTTTGCTACAAGGACTTGTTTTTAATAGGTATCTCAGCTAAAAAAAAGAAATGCAAGCTTTATACACATTGCATTTATATTGTCATCTACCCTAAGATAGAATTTATAATATATGCTGAGATCCTAGTTTATCTGTATTTCTTAACTACTGCATCTCAGAATTAGATAAGGAGAAGGGTGTGCACTGGTCCAAGGCTTCAAGCTGGGCACCCATACCTGGTGCCACCCAAGCAGGAGATCCCAGAGGAGGGCTGGCAGCAGGTTCCTCTTCCTTCCCCAACCCCTTAATGTTAAGTATGCTTAACATTAAGTTTCTTTAACATCTACCAAATAGTATATTAATCTTAGAATGAACACAATCTTATATCAAAGCTTAAAATTATGTCACATCATTGTATAGTGTTGGGTATCTAAAATAATACTCCCTTCACTGTGAATAATGAGATGATTTTATTCTTGGCCAAAACTCTCTAATAGTATTTACTCTCTAAATAGGTTTCTCCCGTGCCACCAGGTACCTTACTCTAAACAGTGAAACTCTAGATTCTAGAGTGTAAATACATTTATTCATGACAGCAAGCATAAAACAAAGAGACTAGCTATCAAAATTTCCCATGAAGTAGAGGGGAAAAAGGTATAAATTTAGAAGGACTGAAACAAAATAATTGTAAAATCCTAAGTATACATTTAAGACATTGTTGAATTCTTATTTTCATCATTCAGCATTGGGAGCAATAGATAAAACCCAGTGTTGATATAAGTGCATGTGTGTTTGCATATACATGTACATATACACACATCTCGAGAGAAGACAGGTATGAACATATACCTACTTATAATAACCATATAACAAATAAGAAACAAATAATCTTAACAGAATTTATGGAACCTGAAGATACAAACTATAAGAGAAACAAAGTAGAACTTAATAAAAAGAATTACCAAGTTTATCTGGAAGAATAAATGGGTAAAGTTTAATAAAGTTAAGCAATAAATAGGAAATGTTTAATATAGAAGAAGAATGTGAAGGAAAGCTACCAAATACTGAGACCTATTTTAAATGCAGTTACTACCCCAGTATTCTATGCTGAGGAGCATGGTAATGTAAAAACTATAAATAGGCTTTTTTATGTGGAGATTTTATTTTGATAAAATTATTAGTACATACAGATATAACAATTTGTGAGGGAACTTTAATACTGAAACAGCAGTGTCTTAGAACAGCATTTTGTTAAGTGCTCTGTAGGGACACCTTGATAATGGATAGCAAGGTTAAAAATGTCTGTAGTCCAGTGGGGAAATTTGGAGTTAAAATTGTGTTTTTATAGCAGGACCTCTTTAAAGTAATGATGTATATTGTGATTCAAGGTATGTTTTTCAAACACAGAATCAACATCTTGTATCACGTCTTTAGATACGTCTGAGAAACATTGTATTACACATTTAGTTTGGACCCTTTTCTCCTGCTGGGCAGAAAATTGCTAATTGCATGTAAATGTGAAATCATGGAAAGTTTTAGGTATCTATCACATCTCCAGAAGAAAGATGTCTCCATTAAAAATGTTAAGAAGCAACCTATTGGCCTATTTGTATAAAAATGGAGAAATCAGGGGTGAAAAAAATAAGCAAAATAAAAACATTTGGGTGAAAAATGCAACGAAGATCATCTACCGTAAAGGATAAATGTACAAATTGATTTGAAATGAATGAATTTAGGTTCTTACAAATGGACAGTGAATATAATTTACTAGAAAGAAAATTTCATTAGTACATAAACATGGGAAAAGTTTTTAACATCCATAATCAGGTATCAAATGGAAATGCTGTTTATATCTGTGTAGTATTCACAAGTTGATTTCCTCCATGTATTTAGTATATATACTTTACATGTACTCGTTAGTTATGAAGTTATATATGTGAATTAAACATCATCCTCAGTCTGCTGAATATAATATTGATTTTGTGATTAGACATTTTGCATTATCTTTCTCTTCCTAGTTTCCATTCTGTGATGGCGCTCACACAAAACACAATGAAGAGACTGGAGATAACGTGGGACCTCTGATCATTAAGAAAAAAGAAACTTAAGTGGACACTTTTGATGCTGCAAACCAACTTATCTCAATATTACCTGATTGTTTAATTAGTACGATTACCACTTCTGTCTAATTCACCTTTCCTTGGTTCTAGATGTGGTATATTGCAAACTGCAGCTTTCATATTCACGGCATTTGCCTTACTTGTTGAGCCATTGTGGTGAAATTGTTTAAACAAAAGGAAAAAGTTAAAACCAACCTCATGGCCTGTGGGTTACTTTGGTCTTGTAAGGATCCGTTTCTTCACATTTTAAAATAATGACACTAGAATATAGTTGTATGTTGAAGTTAACCTATTAAATTATTCTCAAAATCATGTATATGCAGATTGTACTTGTAAGTTTCAAAGAAAAATTATCACCTTTTAATATTACTTAGTTAACCTCAAAACTAGTTTGGGTGTCATTAAGCTCCACTAATTTCTCAATACAATCTAGGAGAAAACTGTTACGACCTTAATTTCTTTTTTGACACCAAGAAAATAATGCTTTGACACCAAGAAAATAATGCTTCTTTGTTTTTATAGTTTTTGGTCAAAAAGAACTTTGAATGCCATTCAGCTTAGTAATGTGGGCCATGGGCAGTAACTTCATATTCATCTTCAGGGATATGTAATTCATCCATTAAAGGAACCCAGTAGTGGAAATTAAGACCAAAGTGATAATTAGATTTAAGGTAGTCATAAAGAAGGTCTTAAAATGTAGTGTTCCAGAGTTTTAGCCCAAGAAGTGGCAAGCGCTTGAACTAAGGACATTGGAGAACGGGAGTACATGTCAAGTCCGGCAAAGCCACATATTCATGACAGAAATAGTAACTATAAGCTAGATCAAAGGCATGGGAAGATTTTTATTTTCCACTCACAATGATATGTGTGACTGATTTTAGTAAAGAAACTTTTGGAGAGAAAAGTAAGAATTAGACTTTTTAGATTATTTGATCTTGTACTTAAAAGCAAAAAATTTCAACACGATTTTTGTTTATGTAACATTCTTCAAAGATTCTGATCAGAGACGTTGCATTCATTACTGATTCAGGAAAAAAAGTGTGAAAACTGAAAATTATTAGGGACAATAAAAGAATTAAGACAGGAGTAGTTAGTATTTTTTTTCAAGGTGATTAGATTTTTGAACTCTATAGGTTTGAAGGAGGAATGACAATATACATATACATCTCTATATACACACATACTTATATAAAGTAAAAAGAAACAGGTCATTTGAAATTGTCAAAAGTAACAGGCAAACATTCTCAATTTCTTTTAGTATACTTAAATTCTTAAGAGTTGTCAGTCTTAAGTTTCTACTTGCTAATATTGAGAATTACCTTAGCAGTCACAATCAATAAAACCAAAAAGTCCTATATTTTGTATAAGCACTGATTTTTTGTGTGTGTATTATGGTAGATGAGGTTGATACTAAAGTATAACAGTTTTAAGTGTCACGTGATTTATTTGGACATGTCTTTAAGGCATATCTATAGTCAAAATCTAAAATACTTCAAGCTTTGATTCTATCAGATTCTTAGGGCGAATTTTTTCCATAATCTTCCCTGTCTTTTAATAAGTATGAATGGATCAGCAAAAGAGAACATTTTGCTCTTAAAGGTTGATCGTTTTAAAGAAAAATTCATGAGCTCTCAAAGTTCCTTTTAATTTAAATGAATTGAACTTGAACTTGAAATTATTTGTCTTGCATTTGTATAGTTTATGGGGAGTGTCAGTTCTCAAAACTATTTTTCAAAGATAGAGGATTAGGTGAGTTGTATGTGTATGGTGAAAATAAAAGTAAGATCTACTTTAGAAAATAGAGAGCTACTTTGTTTAGTAATCCACGATGATAGATAAATTTATTTCCAGAGTCACGTTAAGATTTCCTATATGCTTTTGAGCTAGAGTTTTTTATATTAAAACCTTTTTTACTTAATCTAGCAAGTAAAGTGGGTATGGTTAAGTTAATATGAGATATTATTACACACAAAAAAGTCATTGTGTCCAATCACTGTTCTCATTTAGGCATCCTAAGGCTTTGAGCTGCTTTTCCATTTAATTGAGATCCAAATCAGGCAGTGGGGACTCCCCATTCTACTACCATCTATATCATTTATTTAATACTGACTTATGAAGTCAGGTTTTTTTTCTGATTCTGAATATGTAAATCCAATTTTTATCACTTTAAATACATTATTTTGGATTTTTAATTTTATTTTTATTGAGCAGGCATTGGTTTATAATACCTTATTTGGTTTAGGGGAATAGGTTCATACCTCTTCAGATGTATTGTTACCACACCATACCCATCATCATAGTCCTTCAGCATAAACCTTTGAGCCCCCTCCCACTTTTATTGCCCACCCTAACCCAAAACAAAACTTCACATCAACACCATCCATGATACCCTCTCCCCCTTAGCCCTCTCCCCTCTTCACCTCTGGTAACTTCATTTCGATTTTCAACGTCCACTAGTTTATTTTGTACATTTATCTGTTTTACTTCTTTATATTGCACATACTGATGAAATCATCCAATATCCAACTTTGTCTTTCTGAGGAATTGCTCTTGTAGTCTACTTGATTTCTTTCCCTTTTTACTACAAATGGTAAAAATTCATCTTATAGCTAAATAATATTTCATGGTTTATAAATCACATCTTTATCCAATGGAAACATAGGTTGCTTCCATTTCTTAACACTGTAAATAGTTCTGCAGTTAACATCACAGTGCATTAACTCTTCAAGTTGATGATTTATAGTCCTTAGATGATACCTAGAATTGCCAAATCATATGGGTACTATTTTTGGATTTTGAGGAATGTTCAAACTACTTTTCAACATCCCATGTATCAGGGTTTCTCTTTCTCCATATCTTTAACCATCACTTGTTTACAGTCTTTTTGATGTAAACCATTCTCACAGGTATGAAATGATATCTCGTGTGGCTTTGATTTGCATTTACGTAATAAGTAATGAACATTTTTTTCATGCCTGTCAACCACTGAAAAGAATCTTTGCTCATTTTTTAATTTTTTTTGTTTTTTTAATTGTGAAATTGCATGAGTTCTTTACATACCTCAAAGATTAACCCCAAATGGGATGTGTGATATGCAAATATTTCCTCACATTCGGTTGGCTCTCTTTAGTTTGCTGATAATTTTCTTTGTGCAAAAAGCTGTTTAATACAGTCCCAATTGTTTACTTTTGCTTTCATTTCCCTTGACATTGGAGTCAGATCCCCAAAGACATGTCTGTTACAAATGTCAGAACATGTCACCTATGTTTCCTACTATGTATTTATGTTTTCAAATCTTACATCCAAGTTTTTAATCCATTTTGAATGAATTTTTGTGCCTGGAGTTAGAAAATGATCCAGTTTCATTCTTTTGCATGTCACTCTTCAGTTTTCCCACACCATTTGTTGAAGAGATTTTCCTTTCTCCAATGTATGGTTTTGATTGTCAAAAATCAGATGTTGATAAATGTGTGTGTTTATTTCTGGGTTCTTAATTCTTTTCCATTGTTCTGTGTGTCTGTTTTTTAGCACTATGCTATTTTAATTACTGTGTATATATATAACTTAAATAATACAGCCTAAAATCAGGTAATTGATGCTTTCATTTTTCTTTTCTCTGAAAATCACTGTAGCTACTGCAACTGTTGTGATTACACACATATTTCAGTATTTTTTGTTCTATTTCCTTGAAAAACATCATTGAAATTTTGATAGAAATTACATTGAATCTGTATATTCCTTATGGTAGGATGATCATTTTGACTATATTAGTTCTTCCCCCTTCCCCCTTCCCCCTTCCATGAATATGGATGTCTTGTTCTTTAACCTTGTCTTCAGTTTTCATTGTATAGATCTTTCACTTCCTTAAATTTATTCCTAGGTGTTTAATCTTAATGTTATTATAAATGGGATTGTTTTCTTAATTTCTTTTTTCTTCTTACTGTTTTCATATAGGAATGCAACATTTTTTTGGATTGATTTTTGTAGCCTACCACTTTATACATTTCCTGTTTCTAGTGTATAGGGTTTTCTGTATGTGTTATATTGCCTGCAAATAATGATTTTACATCTCTTCCAGTCTAGATTCCTTTTATTTCTTGTTACCTAAATGCTCTGGCTAAAACCTCTAATACTAACTTAAATAGAAATGGTGGAAGTGGACATCCTTGTCTTGTTCCTGATCTTAAAAGAAAAACTTGTTTTTCACTATTGAGGATATTATTGACTACAGATTTCTAATATATGGCTTTTGCTATATTGAGGTATGTTCCTTCTATACCCATTTTGTTAAGATTTTTTTGTCATAAATGCTTCCTCTGCAGAGAAATTGAATGGTTGCAGAATATTATCTTAGGTTATTTGCCCAGGATCCTGGAGTACCTGTTGCTACATAGACTGATGTCTCTGCACCTATTCAGGTGACTGGAGCTCTGGTGCCAGTAGAGGGCAGGAGCAAGGACAGTGGGGACCCAAGAGTACTCCCAAAAGTTCAAGCCTTCTAAGGGGCTAGAGGTGTCCAAGTGAAGGGAGGATCTCCTCCCTTAGGCCACTTCATTCACTGGAGTCTGCACTGTAGTTTTAGGCTAACAAGAGTTGTGGTCCAACTCTTGTTTGCCAGTTTTTCAACAAGTAGTTTTTCCTAGGTGTGTGTAGAGTGATCTGGAAAATGTTTATTCAGATTACAGACAAGCCACAGTCCTCATTTTGATCGCAAACAGATGAGGATGTGTTTCTCAGAATCTGTAAAAGATAGCCTCCCTTGCAGCCTGGGCTTAGTCTTAGGGGCCATGGCATCAAGAACAGACTGGGAGTCCAGGTAAAGCCATGGCCCAGGTCTGTTCCCACAAGACCTTCGTGTACTGTACCTTCCCTTAAAATGCAAGCTCCTACTGCTAGGACCTAGCTTTTTTAGGTTCTCTAATTAGATGCAGCAAGCATTGTAGGTAAATGTTATCCCTACAGTAGCCCCAGGCAGGCATGGGACAGGTGATTCACATAAGGTGGTTCATACAGAGCAGCCTCTTATGGCTGCTCTTATGGAGAGGAACCTCTGACGCATAAGGCCTCAAGTGACCTCCTCTCACATCTTCCTCTAATCAGACCTTCCCCACTGGGCTCAATGTCTGGTTGCCTACATCTGGGGGCTACAGGCTCAAACTGATAGCATCAAGATACATAAAGAGTGACAAC